GATCCCCTGCTTAACTGCTGAGCCACCTGTCCAGCTCCAATTCAAAAGGCTGTGTTTTGTTGTTTGTTTGATTTGTTATGTTTTGTTTGTTTTGTTTTGAGGAAGGGTTTCTCTGTATAACCCTGACTGTCCTGGAACTCGCTCTGTAGCCCAGGCTGGCCTCGAACTCACAGAGATCTGCCTGGTTCTGCCTCCTGAGTGCTGGGATTAAAGTTGTGCGCCACTACCGTCCAGTCGTTTTTTTGTTTTTAACAACAGAAACTAGATGAGCACATCCAGTCAAAACTGTGGTGAATTTACTTTAAATTGTACATTCACTAAAATAAAACCCTGGAAGCACTGCCAGTCTGTTACTGATGTCATGGACCGCTGTACAAGTCAGTGCTTCGAAGTCCCACAGATGGATGCTCTGAACTCAGTGCTTCACAAATGCTCAGAAGCAGAAACAAAAAGGAGGGAGAAGCCCAAGGCGCTTGATGTTGGATCTACTTGGACAGTCAGTAAGAACCTGTGCTCACAGACTTCAGTCTCCTTCCTCTCCAGCATCCGTCTTATCGGGACACAAGAAAGACAACCCACCTCCTGTCTAGGGAGTGTGACAGTACAGTGAGGCTATCCCCATCATTCCGACTCCTCACTTAGTCTAGTCTGTGGGCACAATAATCCGGCAAATGCTGAACTACAGGCATGACAGACAGGCCAGCCTCTGCCGCTATGGCGAAATGCATGCACACAGCACAAACACTCTCCCACACACAGCCCCATCCCCCTTTCTTACCATCATATTGGGTGGGGTCTGTCATTAAAGCTCTGAGCTCTTCAAGTGCTGCTGTGAGCAGTCCCAGGGGCTGTTCAGCACAGTTGGGCTCAGTCCTTTTTCCTGAGGTGGCATCTGAACCGGGGAAGGACATTTTAAAAATCAGGTCAAATGGTAATAACACTCATTGGGATTCTCTATTATAAACAGAAAAACCTCATATACTTGGGAAATGCTGATGTGTACTGCTTTTGTGTGGATAGCACTCAGTTTCTGGGAGCTTTTCTCTTTGACGCTGGATATTACATATAATATCAAAAGTAAAAATATTGAGACTGGAGATGTTACTCCATAGCAGAACATGTGTCTGTAATGTACTAGGTTTAATTCCTAGCAACATATTTTCTGTTGTTGTTGTTTTTGTTTTGTTTTATCATTTTTGGTTTTTGGAGACAAGGTTTCTTTGTGTAACTACCTTGGCTGTCCTGGAACATGTTTTGTAGATTAGGCTGGCCTCAAACTCAGAGATCCACCTGCCTCTGCCTCCTAAGTGCTGGGATTAAAGGTGTGCACCGCCACTGCCCAGCACAACATACATTTTTTTTTTATATGTGCATTGGTGTTCTGCCCGTATGCATGTCTGTGTGAGGGTGTCAGATCTTGTAGTTACAGACAGTTGTGAGCTGCCATGTGGGTGCTGGGACTTAACCACTGAGACATCTCTCCAGTTCCCCACAACATACATTTTTTTAAAAAAAAGTTTATAAACAAGTTTAAGCAAAGAAAAGAGAAAGCCTGAGGAGATAGCTGAGGGATTAAGAGCGCCACCTGCTCTTCCAGAGAACCCAGATTTCAGTCCCAGCCACCATGCTGTGGCTCACAACCATCTGTAACAAATACCACATTTTCTTTCCTATGCAGCATCTAGATTTAAAAAAAAAAATGCATGAAAGTAAAAAGAAGACTATTTGGGGGGTTGGGGACTTAGCTCAGTGGTAGAGCGCTTGCCTATAGCAAGGCCCTGGGTTCGGCCCTCAGCTCCAGAAAAAAAAAAAAAGACTATTTGGGAAGAGGAAGGGGACCAATGGGAGATGGGTGGAAAAGAGAGTAACTAGTGTGATATGTGACCGAAGTACATAATATATGTATGAGAAAGCCATAATGAAATCCAGCATTTTGTATAACTGATATAGATTAATTTAAAAAATGTAAACAGAGCACTTGTGATGTGACTCAGTTATTCAGTTGGTAGATTCCTGCCCAACATGCACAAAGCCCTGGGTCCGATACCAGCACTACACATAGAACTGGGCATGGCTGCACATGCCTGTAATCTCAGCACTTGGGAGGTGGAGGCAGGAGGCTCAAAGGTTCAAGGTCCTTCTCAGCTACACAGAGAGTTCAAGGCTAGCCAAGGATATGAGACCCTGTTTAAGTAAATCAGTAACTAATTGAAAACTCAAAGACAAAACGAGCAACTCCGTCTGATGCCCCTCTCACTGTCGTGACGCTGGCCGTCAGAGGTACACGGCATTGAAGAATGGGGTGGAGAGAACATGCTAGCCACACACCGCAGGGACAGCGGCTCACTGACCAGCTTCCCAGAGCCAACAAGATCTATCGCTGTTCTCAGAGGTGCAGAGATTCCCAGCACAGGGCTGGACAGACGGCTCAAAGGTTAGGAGCTCCAGCTGCTGGGTTTGATTCCTAGAACCCACACGGTGGCTCACAACTGTCTGCAACTCCAGTTCCAGGAGATCTAACCCCTCTTCTGGCCTCTGCAGACACCAGGCAAACACACGATGCACAAACATACACACAGGCAAGAACACCCACACACATAAAATAAAAATTAAAACAAAACAAAACAAAAACTCCTGCAACCTGCTACAAACCAAATTGTCCAGTTAGAAAATAATTAAACCTGACTGCAGCACTACGCTGTGGGCCTTGAGCTACGTGTGAAGACACCAAATACAGAGGTGGGCTTCTACCTCACGCTTCCCAGGAGGTGGGAAGGCGGCTGACCGTCAAGGCCGTCACGACAACAACCATGAGCTGCTAACACACTGTTTGGTCCCCAGGTGCCACGGTCAGGCAGTCACGGCCTCCTGCACCCGGGTGGGTACAACCTGACCAGAGGATGCCGATGCGGGTGCTGGTGACAGACACATCACGGAAATGAAAAGCACAGGAACAGAAGGTGACCAAGAGCCTTACCTTCAGGCTGCTTCTCCTCAGCAGTGGCACAGGCTTGGCGGTAGGCATCGTATAAGGATGAGGGAATCTTATCTGCTCTAGATAAAAAGAAAGCAGTGCCTACGTCACCCATGACAGTGTTCAGGTTTCTGATTCCAAGGCCATTACACCAGCGTATAATGTATTATTCTGTGTTTTATCTTTTTTTTCAGTGCTGGGGATTAAACCCACTAGGCAAACACTTTACCATAGAGCTACACCTCTAGCCATTTATTAGTTTTAGAAGAAATCACATTTATGATTTTAAAAGTATATATATAGAGAGAGATTTCAGTGGTACCTACGATTTTATAATATGTCATGTATTAGTAATAAATACTGAGTGCTAATTTTAAAAGATCATTAGACTATTCAGGCGACACCCAGCAGTCTATGGGATCCATCTCCAGATTGCCTCTCTTGTGATGATTCTGGCCTGTCGGCTGGGTTTTTGCTTTGGAACACAGGCTTCAGTCTGAATTTTGCCAATAATCAGATGGTCGGGTCTGAGGTAGCCTCACGGCACTATGAGAATATTTGTGCTGAACTCTTCCGAGTCCATTTCCAGGGCCATTCCAGAGCCGTGTGTTATACAGAGGGCTGTCCGGGTAGGTGTGACAGTCCTGCCTATGCCACCAGGTGGCTGTTGCCAATGCCACTGTAAACACATGGACAGCCCCAGTTCCTATCAGCACCTCCACCTCACTATGAGAAATACCGTCAGTGAATTCGGCTCAGACAGGACTAGGAGTGCAGCTCAGTGGGAGAGTCGCCCAGTGTGTGCAGGGCCCTGGGTTCGACTCCCAGCACCACAAGAAAAGAATTTAAAACAACTAGATGAAATTAATTTTTTTGGCTGTTTTATTTTGATCAGAAAATGTCTCACTCTGTAGCCCTGGTTGACCTGGAACCTGTTATTCAGACCAAGCTGTCCTTAAACTCAGAAGAGATCGGTCAGCCTCTACTTCCTGCCTCTACTACCAAGGATTGGATGCACCTCCAGGCCCAGCTTGAAGTAAAAGTTACATGGAAACCTAAAAATGAAAAGATGGAAGGAAGGAAGGAAGGAAGGATGGATGGAAGGAAGGGAGGAAGGGAGGGAGGGAGAAAAGGCATAAAGCAGCTGCCGAACAGTCGTTTACAAAATGGAGTCCGTAGCCCAGTCCATGACTGCAAATGTCAGCAGACAAACGTTTTTATAACACATTCTGCCAAACCTTCAACAGAGCAGAATCTTTGATTCAACAAATAGTTCCAGCAAACAGAAAGAAGTTACCCAGTTCATTTTACAAGATGCTAAAAGCTGCCAAGATACATAAGTGAGAACCACAGACATAGGCATAAAGCCCATTCTGTGTATAACGACATTAAATACAGTTCAAGTCAGACATAGTGGTACATGCCTGTAATCCCAGTTCTTAGGAGGCAGATGGAGGGAGGTTAGCCTGGGCTACAGAGTAAGACCTGTATCAAAACAATACATAAACCAGGTATAGTAGTGCATACCTGTAATCTCGGCACTTGGAAGGGGGAAGCAGGAGAATTGGGAGTCCCGGTCAACCCGAGCTCTAACAAGGTCAAGTGCAGGCTACATGAGGCTGTTTCAAACAGCAGCAGATGTGGCTTGAGGGCCTCATTAAAAACATAAAACTTGCCGGGCAGTGGTGGCGCACGCCTTTAATCCCAGCACTCGGGAGGCAGAGCCAGGCGGATCTCTGTGAGTTCGAGGCCAGCCTGGGCTACCAAGTGAGTTCCAGGAAAGGAGCAAAGCTACACAGAGAAACCCTGTCTCGAAAAACCAAAAAAAACAAAACAAAACAAAAAAACAAACATAGAACTTGTTGGGCGGTGGTGGCTCACGCCTTTAATCCCAGCACTCGGGAGGCAGAGGCAGGGGGATCTCTGTGAGTTCGAGGCCAGCCTGGACTGCCAAGTGAGTTCCAGGAAAGGAGCAAAGCTACACAGAGAAACCCTGTCTTGAAAAACCAAAAAAAAAACAAACAAAAAAAAACCATAGAACTTGATACATTTGCATGTTATCTTTCCACAGAGCTCATTCTAATCTTCTCCGTAACATTCCAACTTTAGTATATGGCCAACTGAAGTAAATAATCATGGATACTATGTAAGTGTTTTAAAGTGATCTCCACTTTTCTATGTATTTGAAATTTTTTCCATTATTTAAACATGTTATTTGACAAATTCACACATGTACATAATGTATACTGAATGCTCTCAACCCCCAGCTCTCCATCTCCCTATTATCCTGTCTACAAATCCCTTTCTCCTGTTGGGTCTCTTTGTATAGTTTTATGACCCACTGAGTTGAACTAGTGATGTCATGGATTTGGAGCATTCCCTCAGAGCTTTGTGGGCTCAGCAGAGGGTGCACAGCTGGAGACAATGTTTATCCATCTTCCAGAAACTATCAAGAACCAGTAGTTCAGCAGTAAGAAATACACTCCATGTCCCCCTCCCTCTCTGACTAATTGTTGACAGGGCCTATTTTGTCTTATGTGGGCTGCTGCAGGTAACCACACTTGTAAGTTCCTGACTGCTATGGTTAGACAGAGTATAAGCGATGGCACTTCACAGCCCTTTACCTTATTTTCTGGCTTTTACCTAGTCTAAGGCTCAGGAAACATTGTAGAAGAAAGGGAAGCAAGCATATGGAATATTTTATATAAAAAATAAAGGCCAGGGTAGGCAGTGGTGGCACACGCCTTTAATCAGAGGCAGGTAAATCTCTGAGTTCAAGGTCACCCTGGTCTACAGAATGAGTTCCAGGACAGCCAGGGCTATATAGAGAAACACTGCCCTGAAAAATAAATAAATAAATAAATAAATAAATAAATAAATAAATAAATAAATGACTAAATAAATGACTAAATAAATAAATAAAGGCCAGTGTGATGGCACATGCTTTAAGTTCCAGGACAGCCAGGGCTATATAGAGAAACCCTGCCCCGAAAATAAATAAATGAATAAATAAGTAAATAAATAGGCCAGTGTGATGGCACATGCTTTAATCCCAGCACATAAAAGACAGAGATAGGAGTAGGTCTGAGTTCCAGAGCCACTTGGTGATAACCCATTTCAAATAAATGAATAAAAAGATGATAATACATAAATAAAGAATCTCAGCGATAATTTTTTTGGTTTGTTTGGTTTTTTTGTTGTTGTTGTTGTTGTTTTTTAAGACAAGGTTTCTCTGTGTAGACCTGGCTATCCTGGAACTTGCTCTGTAGACCAGGCCAGCCTCAAATGCAGAGATCCACCTGCCTCTACTTGAGTACTTAGATCAAAGGCATGGGCCACCACTACCGCTCACCTGGAGCCAATATCCTATGAATAAAACACACGTATGGTAAATTTCTCTACAAAAGAACTCAAACTCTTTGCCCTATTAAAACCCATTGGAAAAAAAAATAAAACAAGAAAAACCCACTGGCCACAGAGCAGCCTCTGGCAAGCTCCTGCTTACCTCTTCAGGGTCTCTATAAAGGTCACCCGGGAGTCAGGAACCTCTGGGAGCTGTGAAAAGAGCAAGCATGTGAGCAGCAGGCAGGGAATGTGTCTCCCAGAGATGTAGGTAGAAGATGAGTGTGCACTCACCACTCTCGGTGTGAGCAGGGCAGGGAGGAAGTGTGACAGGTAGTAGGACCTCCTGAAAATGCTGCAGCACAGAAGGGCAGACACACTATAATGAACGTGGGAGAAAGGCTTCTTCCACCAACTCCCTCCCAGCCTAGAAGGGCGGTTCTCGGTCCAGCCTTTCATTTTTGTTCTCTTTCATTTCATTTCTAAGACAGAGTCTGATGCAGCCCCAGTTGGTCTCAAACTCACTATGTGGCAAAATCCTGAACTCCTGCTCTGCCTGCCTCTGTCTCTCAGGCAATGAGATCACAGGTGGGTGCACCAGGCCTGGCTAGGCTCTAATAGTGATCATGTGGCTTTTGTTTTGTTTTGTTTAGGCAACATCTCACTGTGTATCCCTGACTGGCCTGAAACTTGTTACGTAGCCCAGGCTGGCCTGAAACTCACAGAGATCTCCTCACCTATGTCTCCAAAGTACTGGGATTAAGGTGTGAACTACCATGCCTGGGCTTGATCATGTTTTTAAGTCTTTTCTTCCCTCACTGTTTTAGGATGAGTCTTGCAAAGACACCCGGCGTTATCAACAAGCCTATGGTCCATGATATCTGGACCATGTTTACTCTCCTGAGGACTGGCCAGGGAACCCACGTTAATCTAAGGCTATGAGGGTTGCAATGAGGCCACCATGAGCTTTCTGCTTGGAAGCGATCTCAAAACATCATGAGTTGGGCTCAGCTGGGCTAGACAATGAAACTGTCTCAAAGCAAAACAAAAATGACAAAAAAAGTAGACACCACAGACCCGCCCTCACTCTATGCCACCTCAAGACCTCACCTTGGGCACAGCATCCACACTGGCTCCTGGCTCCCATGATAGAAAGAGACCTCCGTCCCCATGTGACTTTGGGATCACAGTGGGACAGACTTCAGAGCCCCAGCATACCAATGGCAGCATGGCCATGTCTGGATGGGCTGTAGCCAGCAGATGCTCTACAGCAGCCTCTTCCTACCTGGCCTCCATGACAGCCATCGGGACTTTCCCTGTTTGTTCAAACACCACGAGGGCCTTCTCGACATCCTGGATCGCTTGGCTCTTAGGCTGGCTCGGCACAGGGAGGGAGAGAGAAAGAAGGAAGACTTGAAAGCGAGTAAGCAAGCCTAGAAACCTGGCAGCCACCTGCTGCTCCTTGTTGCCCTGAGTTTCTGGACATGTGAGAGGTGACAGGTGAGATGGGCCCTGTACAACCTGGGAGAGTCACAACCCCCCAGGTCCTGCTTTCTGGACTCACACGGGCCCTAGGTCAGCTCAGCTCCAAGGCCAGTGCCTTCTCCTAACTGCTCTGCCGGCCGTGAGCCGTTTCTCCACCTCTGCTCTCGTCCGCTCTCCCAGGAGAGGACGGAAGGCTTCCAGGTGGCTCAGAAGAGAGACTGAGCTTTGAGATTTCAAAACAATCAGGAAATGTCAGAGCTAGGCGTGCTGGCAAATGTCTGTGATCCAAGTGCACAGGAGGCTGAAGAGTGTACAGACAGCCTGAGCTGCGTGAGCCGTCACAAAGAAAATGGGGATGGGAGGAACAGAGAGAGGCAAATGTCTCCAGGGTAACGCCTGCCATGCAAGCCTGGGAAACCTGAATTAGAGCCCCTGGGCCCTCACGAAGGAGAAAACACTCCACAGGTTGCCTCTGACCTCCACACATACTCTGCATACCTCATCTCTGTGAGTTCAAGGCCAACCTGGTCTACAGAGTGAGTTCCAGGATCGGCACCAAAGCTACACAGAGAAACCCTGTCTCGAAAAAAAAAAAAAAATCAAAAAATAAAATAAAATAAAACTGGGCCAGCAAGATGGTCCAGTAGGTAAAGGTGCTTGCCACCAAGCTGCCAACCTAAGTTCAATCTTTGGGACCTACAAGGTGAAAAAAGAGAGCGCTAATTCCCTCAAGTTTTCCTCTAACTTCTGCACATGTACCCCACCATGTGCATGTGCACACACAAACAAGGATAGTAAAAATTAGATAAATTAAAATTAATGAAAAAACACGTAAACTAAAACATCCTGAGGAGAGTCCACTGTGGCACTGGCCTGTCTTTGAACATGGCCACTCTGCTCGGCGAGTGTTGTCGTACAAAGACTCCAAGGGACAGTACAGGGAAATCACTTTCAGGAAAACAGGTGACCTAGCTTCACTGGAGATGAATTAAGCAGAGGTTTCTGAGAGCCAAATTACTCACGTCAAAAGACAAGCGACCCAAGACTGTGGTCGACCAAAAGCAGTGCTCATCACTGTTGTGGAATGTTGTTTTAACTGGGCAAAGATATGTTAAATGTGTTCATGCTGTGGAATATTGCTTTAGCTGTGCAAAGGTGTGTTACATTTGTTTACGCTGTACTTGTTTAATAATGCAAAGACAGGTTGCATTTGTTTCACCTTGCCTGCCTAAGGCACCTGGCTGATCTAATGAAGAGCTGAACAGCCAATAGCTAGGCTAACAAAGAACGGGTGGGGCTGGTGGGCAGAGAGAATAAACAGGAGGCAAAATCTAGGCTCGAAAGGAATGAGAGAGACGGGAAAGACAGAAGAGGATGAGGGAGGTGCCCGAGGCCAGCCACACAGCCTCCAGCCAGCAGACACGAAGAGCAGGGTAAGTAAGGTACACAGAAGGAAAGAAAAGTAAAAAGTTCCAAGTCAAAAGAAGGAAGGATAAATAGAAACAGGTTAATTTAAGTTAAAAGAGCCAGTCAGAAACGAGCCTAAGCTAGGCCGAGCATTCAAAACTAATGAGTCTCTGGGTCATGATTTGGGAGCTGGTTGGTGGCCTAAAAGAAAAGGCCTGATACACATTACCTCAGCGATGTCCCCAGAGGAGGACAAGTTCTCATAGAGTCCCATATTCTCCAGAGAAACCTTCAGAGGGGAAAAACAAGCACGTGAATACAGACAGCGACAGGAAATGGTTACTGCCAGGCAGGGCTAGAGCAGTGGCCTGACTTGCCTTGAGGTCAGCAAGCCTTGTCTTGGCCAACGAGATGTAGTCTGTGAGGAGGGAGTGGTACTTGCTTGGGACCAGTGGGGGGTGGAAAATATGGACCTACAAGAAAACACAGTAGAGCAATGTCAGCCACAGGATACCATAGCGCTCTTCACCAGGACATTAGCAGCCACGGCAATGAGGACAGTAACTATAAGAGATGGCCACTAGCAGGCACAAGACACATAACTTTTGAACAAAAGTTGACCGTGGTGATGATGCACACCTGTGATCCCAGCACTCAGGAAGCAGTAGCAAAGATCAGGACAAGTTCAAGGCTAGCCTGGTCTACCTAGCAGGTTCCAGGCTAGCTAGAGGTGTACAGTGATACTCTGTCTCAAACCCACAAGAGAAGGCGGCCCTTCCTTCCAGGGAGAAAATTAAGAAAAATGTACTGTGTGGCTGGTTCTTTGAGTGGGAGGGAAGCCAAGGGTAGGAAGCAGCAGCTCCACACCACGGGCTCTGGAGACTTTATTGTCTAGAGACAC